CCCCCCCCCCTCACGCATCACTCCCACCTTACCGGCCCTTCTCGACCGATATATTCCGCCAGACCGTGACAAAGAGAGAGAGAGAGCACTCGCAGGATTTCGGCTCACCGCTTTTTCTCCCCGTACGTTTCACGGGCTAATTTTAAGTCGAAGGTGGCATTTGTTTAATTTTCGTTCTATAGTTTCCATTCTCCTCCTTTTTCTCTCTTTCTTTCTCTCTGTCTCTTTCTAAGTGTATCGTGTTCACGTCGAATTGGACGTTAGAGCGAGCGAGAGAGATAGAGAGGAAGGAATGGATAAAGGTCAAGGTTGCCTCCTCTTGTCGTGACGCTCGTTACATAGAATACGATTGTTCTCTAATCGATCGCGATCCCGTAGGAGCCCCGGCGGATTATTTTCGGAATTGTGTCGCGCAGTTTTCGAAAGAGAGAGAGAGAAAATTCGCGTGGGAGGGTCGAGCCCGTCATGTTTTTCCCTCTATTTGTAGCGACGAACGAGCTCGAATTTCGGCACCGCGCCACCGCCAGAATCTCTTGCAAAAGAAACAAACAGAATCATGTACGTCGCGCGGATTTCATTATTATTGCGAGGTCGAAATGAGAGAAGCAGCTCACAGCCCACCCCGGTTCGGAGAAGTAATCTGATAACGTCACGGGCCGTCAGATCGATACGCGAGGTCAAGTGCGTTTTCTGTTAGCGCGAAATCGACTGAAATTTCGAATTCGCAGGCGCGTCTCGGACGGGCGCGAGATGAACGACGACGGTTTACGTTACGGCGGAAACATTTCCCGACAGAAATTTCCGTAAGACTTTACGAACCCGATTTTTCATTCTCCGATTAACTTGACGCTTAGACTTAATCCGTCGATAATGTCAAAGTTGTTCCTCTATTCATGGTTAGTCGTTAAACCGACGATGGTCTTGCAGTGACAACTTCTGAAGTTTGACGCTCAATCGCGAATAGAAAAACACAATTTTCATATTATCGTCAGGTTGAGCGTAAATCGCAAGTTAAGCGAACAGACAGTGAAAAACCGGGCCTTGAAGACGTCTGAAAGATATCTGAAAAAAAATTTGACTTTTGGACGCGTTTAAGACATCTTTCGGAAATGTCTGCCTTCATTTTGCAACCGTTAGAAGTTTGCTGAGCCGAGATCGGATCTATAGGAATAATTCGATATCGGCGCAGGAAAATTTCCAGCGATCGCGCGATAAACGCGTTACCGGTGAGAACACGGCGAGAAATGTCATGGGATATCGATTTCCCCGGGTCGCTTTCGCGTGTAAGTGTCGGCCGGGTTAGGTCCTTGGGCTTTATTTCCTACCCCCTTTACGCGGAAGGGCAGTCTCACTCACACATGCGCACACGAGGATACACCCACACAGACGGGGGAGAAACGGTATATCGGTGACCCTTTAGTACTTTCCCTCGACGACGTTGATACCGGGTGTCGCAAGGTTACGTCTGTTGTGTGCCCCGTTAACGATAAGACCGTCACGGTGGCTGCGCGCCATTCAGTGCGTTCTGTCATTAATGGCCGCGCCATTAATATGTTTATCGTCTAACGTAATCACGGAACAGACGTACCGCGAGATCTACCGCGTCTTCTACGATTTCCCGATTTTTCCTCGGCGCGTGTGACGTCACCGATCCTCCCGGGCGAGTCGCAGGGGAACGACGCGTGGAAATTGCCGATAGAATTTTTCGAGAGGAATCGAGAGAACGTAGCCTAGCGGATTGGAGGATAGAGGAGGCGAGCGTGGAACAAAGCGCGCGGTAGATACGCGCCACTCGGTATACACGCGCCGTTCCTAACACCACGCGGGACGAACAGACGTTCCTGACCCTTCAGTCTCTTTCCTATTGACACACGAGACACGCATAATATACACGCACTCGGAACACGTATACCCAACGGAGGAGGAGAAAGAGAGACCGAGAGAGAGAGGGGGAGAGAGAGAGAGAGAGAAAACCCTTCAATGAACGGAATGTACGTGAATCGACACGCGAAGAGCTGCTCTTGGACATAATGTCTTCTGTCGCATCGTCGGCTCTAATGTCGCCTTTGAATCGACAATGTTGCAACGACGACGATGATGACGCCGTTGAGAACGTGACAACGATGGTCCCTTCAACGTATGTTATGACTTGATGATTATGACGATTCGTCATAATAATAATGATGATGATAATGATGATGATGATCTGATGATGATGATAATGATGACCCGATGACATGGTAAGACAACTCCAATATCTTACATTCGATCCGCGACTTCGCGGCGGCCTTTGTAACACCTGTTAGAATACAGATCTCGCTTACACACACACACACACACACAGACACGTCAATCGGCGGGCAATTGGTCGATGATGATTCGCGTGAGGCATGATTTCAGGAACATTGAAGAAAATTGGCATTTTTTTTCTTCTTTTTTCCTCAATCGAGTCAGAGGCTCGCGCGAATGCGTCGTAATTTCAGTGAGTTCGATCGGTGTCCGAGTGTGCAGCCTGTGCCTCCGCCGTGGGATCTTCATCGATCGGTTTCCTTCTCTATCTCGGTTGTGCGACGAAACGACTGTCGGATTCCGTTCGTCTCGTATTTCGCTCGAATCGTTTTTCGCTCTCGAACCAGGTGGTTTCTACCGTTCGGACGATCCGGGGGGGCAAATCACGAGAGAAAGCGTCTGTTCTTTTCAGCCGCAATTATCGCTATTTGTCTCTCCCTCGTTCGTGGACATTTCTGGTGTACAATTTGCATATGTTATTACTTCGACCCACAGGAAGTGTGGAACGACATTGCAGCCGGGAAAAACAGATACGTCAAGGATGATTATCGAGTCTAGCCTGTTGTCGCGCAAAAAAAAAAAAAAAAAAAACATGGGAGGCTTCTTCGAGTAGATAGATGCGGCCGATATTTTCGCCACGGTTAGTAACCGCGCAGACATGCGTCACATTGTTACAGGCCGCTCGATCAAAGTTCCTCCTTCGGAAGTTCTCCACGCTGCGCTCGATGTACACGTGTACAGTCCGTCGGCCCGTTTCGCAATGATCGCTATCAATTTGTCCCTGACGACGAATCATGAGTCCATCCTCATGATCTCCTCGGCGTAATTTTCAGCCCCGTAGAGCCCGCAGACGCACGTCGCGTCGAATAGCCCGACAGAGAGTGGCTGTTATGAGTTATGTCGAGGTGATGACGCCGCACGCCATCGAGAGACGCGTCTCTCTTTCTCGTAGACGTCCGAAGGCTTCGTTTTACGGCATTTTACGATGAGACTGGACAATTCGTTTTCTCTATTTACGATTGATCTTCTGATCTTCAATGATCGCATATGCATATATATATATCCCTCGATACCGACGTCTCCGAAAATAAACATCAGATCTTACTCATCACTCATCACGTCACGTTGCAACTTTGTGGTCGAGTAGCAATGAAATAATAAACACGCACATTGCGTCTGATTGATAATTGATTGCCTTTTCAATGCAAATTTAGTAGTTTTTCTTACGCATTGCAGGGACCATCACATCTCGGTAATAATGTGATTTAGTATTGTGCATACATTTAATCACATGTGTCGTATATGATAGATAGTAATATACGGTACATCACACATGAGTGATGAAAATATAAGAAGTATATTGCAATTTTTGTCGTCGTTGCAAGCATTGAGTCACAATCTATCTTGCTGCTTTAACGAAAAGTTCATATTTGATTATACTAGATGTGTAAACAGACTCTCGTTATCTCTTCTGTAGTGAATTGAGAAATTATTGTGTATAGACTTGTGCCTAGCACGCGGCAAGACGTAATTTACATGTATGACTTGTAAATTACATTGCAACAATTATCATTGAAACATGATAAATCACTACATAAGAGGTAAATCTGCAAATTCTCCTAACGCTTCCGTTCTCACATATCTTTCTTCTTATAAATGCGCAGCACTGATAATGATTTGGAAGATGGAGAGATCCCATCAGACGAGGATGATGAGCCGGTCACCCACACTGCGAATAATGCACCGGAAGCAGCAAAACCAATACCAAAACCAGATATTGTGAAGAGCAAAAGTTTCGAGCCGAAGTTCAGCAAGAACAAGAAGCAGCTTGCGCAAGCAGCTGGTAAACATGACCGTTTCCTGAAATACAAGTGTCCGACCGAAGATTGGGCCGGAGATGTTGAAAAGGCCATCAAGGCTGCGATGGAGGAGGACGGGGGGAGGAATCAAGAAATCAAGACGAAGAACAAGAACAACAGGAACAAGGCCAGGAAGAGAATTCGTGATGAGAGGGAAGAAGACCGTAGTAAAGAGCAAAAGGCACGTTATTTATTTACTAGGTCGTCGTTTAATCTCTGATTTGAATTTTACCCGAATTCACGTATCAAGCAATAAGTTCTTACGGATAAACTAGCAAGGGCACTTCCAGTTGTTGCCACGTTATGACTAACGGATTAAATATCTCATGATATTTCATATTTCAGAAGCGAAAAATCAGCGATGACGAGAACGGTAACGAGGACGAGGATGAGATGCTCTTCGTGCGAGGAGCCTCGCCCATCAGGAAGGATTCGCAAGAGAACAACTCCCCCAGACGTGCGAACGAGCACGACACTTTCGAGACTATTCCAGATTTCGAGGAGAGGCCTACCATCAATCGACACAGGGAGAATGAAAGCAAACGCGGCACCGGGCGTGGAGGTACGAGGACCCGCTGATGTTTCACTTTTTCCCCGTTAGACATTACACAATTGAAGCGCATTCCGTATTAGAGTGATTTTTGCCGACTTCTACTGACGTAATAATTGTACAATATTATTCGCCGCTGAGTTGGCTCTCAACAACGTTTTTGCAAATGTTTTGTAACAGGACGTCGCGGTGGTAAGAACGAGCGTGGCGGTAAGAACAAGACTCGTGGTCAAATGCGAAACGACCGAAACGGCCGTCGACCGCAGAACAACGATCATGGACACGAGTCGGAGACGATCTGCTTGTACTACATGCAAGGAAAATGTCACAGGGGGGACGACTGTCCGTTCTCGCACAACGCCTTGCCACCCAGGAAGATGGAATTATGCAAGTTTTACCTGATGGACTGCTGCGCTAAGCGGGAGAAGTGTCTCTACATGCATCAGGACTTTCCGTGCAAGTTCTTCCATACTGGTTTAAAGTGTAATCAGGGTGACAATTGTAAATTTTCGCATCAGCCTTTGAGCGATCAGGTAATTCATAACGTTTCTTTTTTAACTTTAATATCTATAATTTCATAACGAGATTAGCGTGATTTATCTATGCGACTTATTTCAAATTATATTCCAAGTGCTCGCGAAGAGAAAACAAGTTACCTAAGTCTGTCACGGAAAATAATTCCCTTAAAACTGTTTGTGCTCTCAGGTGAAGGCGATTCTGTTAAAACACTTGGAAAGTGCACCGAAGGAGATTCTTGGGGATTTCCCCAGGCTAAGCAGAGAGGGTGCAATATTAATGATAAATAATACTGCACGTTCTTTAGCTCAGGGGCAAGATACGGCGAATCAAAAGATACCCAGTCTCTTTGAGTTAAATTTAACAGCGCCTACGGACAAGAATGACGAAAAAGATGACAAAGGTAACTCAAAGCGGATGTAGTTCTTATTGAAGTTACTCCGACGGCGACTTTAAGTTACATCTCTGCGCGAATTCGTTCGTGCGCGTTAATATCGATTCTCCGAATAATCTAAAGTAAAAATTCAACAGAGGAGTCAATGGGTCAACAAAAGGTCAATATGAGAGAGAGGAAACTCACCGGGAAGAGGACACGATGGGGATCGGACGAGGACAGAGTCCCTTATGAACAAATTATGCTGCTACAGTCGGCGAACGAACTGTGTCTTCAGCTTCCAAATGTTGCATTGGGTCTAGCCACGCAGCAACATAGCAACGCGCAATTACAGCAGAAACAGATGCAGTTGGCTGCGCCGCCTACAGATTTTTACGCCGAAATAAATACGGAATCAAACAAAAATCTACACAAAACGAAAGAAGATTTTACGAAGGACATAGGAGAGGATGATATATTAGATCAGGTATAACTAATACGGGGTATCAGGATTTATGCACGCGGATAAACACGCGTTTTCACTGATTATTCATCGAGGACTGAAGATATAAATATAAATTTATTAGAAATATAATATACAAGTATTGAGTGATAAAATAACGCGTAAAAGATAAAATAAAAATGTTATTTATTAGGAAGTTATAAATATTTAAAAAGGCGTCTAATTTTTTTATTTTGCCACGATTTCGCGAAAGCTAGAAAAGATTTTATAAAAATTCAAATCGCAACTGTACATTATTTTATGTTATTATTTTATGTCATTAGCGTAAAAAGTAAGATCCCGACCTCCAGCTTTCGGCAGAAGATTCTTAAAGAGTTGCTTTATGAGAAAATATAAAAAAAAGAAAAAAATAGATTTTTTTTTATTTCGACAAAATAATTTCTGATACTTGATATTGCAACGAGTTGCAACATCTGTGACATCGCGGAATCATGCAAATTCGAATTAAAAAAAATATATAGAATTATTTCATCTCACTACTGTTTAATTTTGCAGCCGAAGAAAAAGACTCGCAACTCGGTGGACAATTTGAAGGACATCGATTTGAGACAGATGCTGAAGGCGAAGAAAGCAGCGCTTGTGTACAGCATAGCCGACGAAGTGGCGAATCTCACGAAAAATAAAATCGACGACGAGAGCGATCAGGACGAAGAGTCGGACCTCGTTATCGAGATGCCAGCCGAGGATGATGACAAAGCCAAGCACGCTATTAATCAGCAAAGTGAGCATCGCTACTTGTGTACATCCTCTATTTCAGATATTAATATTTCGCATTGCTTTTCAAAAATCTTCATTTCACGCCCGACTCGCCTGAAAGGAAGGCATTGTCCGAGCAGAATAGATAATCCTAAATCATCTCGGTGTTCACCAGGCGAGCAACCCAGCGACACGGCGGTTTTCTTGTCCGCGGACGATCAGGAGGCGCCGCCGCACTTGCCGAAGAAGGCGCAGGAGCTGTTCATGCGGATACAGCAGCAGCAGCGCGCGGCCCAGGACAGTTTCAAGAACATGGACAGCGACGCCGGCGGCGCGGGCCACACGGACCAAATCATGGAGGACTGGTATTCGGACGAGGAGGACGACGACGACGACGACGACGAGAGCGGCAACCTCACCATAGTCGACAGCATGAAAGACGAGATCGAGTCCGCCGAGAGGACTCAGAACATCGTCATCAAGGAGGACTTCCAGACAACGGCGCCCGCGACGCCGAGCGTCCCTCAACCGGCGGCCATCGTGGACAAACTGGGAGACTTGAGCAAGATCGACATCAGCGCCGAAGTGTCGAAGCTGTTGTCGACGCTGAAAGCTCAGAGTTCCACGGGCGGCAAGACGCAGCCCTCCGCTCAAGACACGTCGAAGGTGAAGCAGGAACCCACTGGTGAAGCGTCGAGCCCGAGGGTCTCGCCGGACCCGGCGCCCGTCGCCCCCGTGTCCCGGGACCCGCGCATGTCCAGGGATCCCAGGCAACGCAGGGACGAACAGAAGCCGAGCAGTCCCAGCATATCCGACAGCAAGAGGGACTCGCAGAAGCACCTCAGGTTAGAGACCAGCATCTACAGCAGCGGCATCACGCCGATGGACACGCACATGGACACCGATCTCAGGACGAAGACGGACCAGGACCTCAGGCGGCAGGACATGGACTTCAGGCAACGCTTTCAGACCGGCTTCGGCGACACGGACTTACGGGTGGTGGGCGCCGGTTTCACCACCGACACCTCCACCGCCAAGTCCGACGTGGACCTGCGCCAGATACTGAGCCTGCCGTTCAAGCCGGCGCCCTCGCACATGCCCTGCACCGAGATAGACGCGAGCATCGCCTCGCACCCGCCGATCGTCTACAAGGTCTACATCGTCGACATACCGCGGCCGGACTACACCGGTCTCAAGCTGACGAAGAACGACGCCCAGGTCAAGTACGATCCCCGTTTGCGCAAGATCTTCCGCATCGGCAAGGTCGAGCTGGTGACCGACTCGCCGATGTCGCCTCCGCCGGCGCCGCCGCCGACGGCTATCGTCAAGCAGGAGACCCCGAAGTCGCCGCCGCAGATCCGCTCGGATCCGCGACGGAAGACGCTCGAGGCGGCCGCTTCCAGCCAGTCCGCTGCTGCGGCGAGCGTTAACTCCATGATGCCCAAGCAACAGCCGATGGACATGGGACCCAACATGGGACTTGGGCCCGGTGGTATGCCGGTGCCGCCCGGTATGCCTGGCGGGCCGCCACCTAATATGATGGGGCCGATGGGGCCGAGCCATCCGATGGCCATGGGCCCGAACATGGGCCCGATGAGGCCGATGATGAACGCGCCGATGCCGCCGCAGAACATGCCGCCCATGGGCATGCCACCGTCGATGGGCATGAACGGCCCGCCGATGCCGATGCCGCAAGGAGGCCAGATGAACTACGACCCGCGCTTCAACGTCCAGCGGAACAACGGGGTCGGCCTTCTGGGCCCCGGACCCAACACCTTCGGGCCGGACAATTCCTACGAGGGCGGCGCGCCGCCGCCGTATCCCGGCGGTAACTTCAACAACTTCGGCGGCGGTAACGGCGGCGGACCCGGCGGTCCCGGCGGTCCCGGTGATGCCAGCATGATGGGCTTCAATCCGAACGCCTCGAACCCGCCGAATTTCATGGGCGACGGCGCCGAGTGGGGCCCCGGGAACGGGAACCGGCGCGGCGGCCGTATCCGCCGGCGGAACCGCAACAGGACCAACATGGTGGCTAATAACTGAGAGGAAGCTTCCAAGGAACAGCTGCCAACTGTGGGTACAACTACCGTGTAGACTGAGTACCTGAGACGAGCGATTCTCTCCGATCCCGTTTGCGGTGTACCGCCATTCGGAGTCCCTTATTCACGACGACGAGTTGTCGAGCGGCGGTGGTTGATCAATCAGGCTGTCGTCGTCGTGTATGCAGGAGTGTATGAGTGTGTGCGTGTGTATGTGGGAGTGTGCATGAGAGAAAGACAGAGAGAGTTCTTTATTAGGACGCGACGACAGAAGGGAATCGCACGCGTCCTGGTGTAATGCTCATTTGTGTACGCGCGATTTCCTCTCCACTTTGGACTTACTTAAAGGAAGAAGAAAAATGAAAACCCGTACGTTACTTACGACACCTTCGTTGAACAGACTAATAGCTGTGTAAGGTTGCATAATTCTCAACAACGCTTAGCTAGGATAATTCATAATATACATATATATGAGTAATGTAATGTAAGAGATATTTATACATAGCAATGAAATATGTATACCCTAGTAAATTCGGAAAAAAGACAAGACTCGGGACTGCATTCGTGGTCCGAGCTCTGCGTTCAGGATTATCGGAAGTTATCTTGACACTTCGGAAACCGGTTGACACACACCAATTTATTTCCCTTGTAACCAACTCTTTTGCGGATAGAAACCGGTCCTCGGAATGTTGAAATGTTGCGAGGGATCGTTTCGTTGTTATTTGCGCGTCTCAAGATTAATTTGAGGCGATTTCGGATGTAAGGTCAGATTACGAGTACACAGCCCGGCATATAACAGCCTTAACGTATTATACAACTAGGTATTAGGATATTCTAATCTTATTGATTGTTAATTGGTTATCGATTTGTTATTTATTAATTATTCGGGGAGGAGCGCTGCATTATGGCAATACGTTATAGTGACGGCTTTATGTTAACGCCCGGGAACAAATGTGCGCGGTTACGCAGAGTATTGGCCGTACACATTCGTTGCAATTAGTAACCTATATAGATATATATAGTGCTTGTTAAGACTATTATGCCGGTCTGCGTACGCATACACACGCAAGTGCACGCTGATTTTGTTCATCATTTCGAGGTTTTACACAAAACCACGTGAGATGATTATTTACGGAAAAACAAATTAACTCAATATCAACTGCAACGCTTGTAGGCTATCTTATTTGCAATGGTACTATCAAATATATCACTAACAACGTATTTCAGAAAAGTTTCTCGAATAGTGGTTACTTAGGCTGCGTCCCGAAGCTCACTGCCAGTACGAAAAATCTATAGTTTATGTTGCGTATATTACAGATTTTCAGTAATGACAGTGAATCTCGGAACTATAGTCATAATTTTAAAAGGTATATAAAATGGATGACCTCTATTTGATCGTGAGACTTCTTACGATCAGATATAGGTCACCGCCTTACGTACATTTTGAAACCAAGTGACTTTTGTCCGAGAAACTGGTTTTCTGAAATGCGTTGTTCGTAAAATATTTTTTAGTACTGTTATAAACAAGATATCTTGCATATAAGCGCTGCAGCTGATATATCGAGCTAATTTTTTCACAACAAAATCGGCGTGCATCACTTGGTGAAGATTACTTGTTAGCATGTAAATCGCGCGCAAATCAATCAATCAGTCAGTCAGTCGGTCGGTCGGTCGATTGATGAAACGATGGCAGGTGATAGCGATTGCATTGATGAGTTCTGTTGTCTTCCACACGTAGCACGCGACACACGGACGAAGCAATGTGCGAAGGAACATGCGCGGCATGCGAGGCACGTGTTGTGTGTCTCTCTTTATGATTCACGTTCAAGCAATCCGATCGGCACGTGCGTGTCGGTCAGTCGGCGTCGGGATGGTGGGCTCCGATGAGACACGAGATGCTTCATCTCGCGAGCAACGTGATTTTGTTTTCATGTATGACACGTTAACTTATACCAAGAACTGAATCATTGTTTTAAGAGAGATCATTTTCACAGTATACCGTATGCTTGTTTTAATTAAGAATAAAAAAAAAAGGAATCATGTACCGTAGCAATATATTCTCACGATATCGCATTAACCGATACTTCGCAACGTTGGATTTAAGAAATCAGAAATATCACGTGGCAGAAGTAATCATTTAATGGGCCAATTAATAACGATGACACGATGATTTGTTATTCGTTTGGAAGAACGAATACGTTCAGTATATTTAACATTCTAATTACTGTTACAGTCGATCCCTTTTTATCTACTACAACCTTTTCATTTATTTATTTTATTTGATTTGCATACGTACACAACTTTTCGGACGCCGACTACACGCGATCTATATACCTACCGTGGCGGCAGCGTGTACAGATCGCGAGGTCACAACGATGTAGACTAACGTAAAATGCAATATTTTGTAAGGAAAAAAAAAAAGAAAAAATTGAAGAGAGAAATTCGAACCAATCTACAGTTATTTCACGAAAAATACTTTTCTACTCGCCTTCTACGAACGTACATATGAGGGCGCGAGTTCCGTTGCTTTGAGACTCCCAATTTTCACGAAATTAACACAAAGTGATTATCAAGCGACTCAAAGCAACACACAACTCGGTGCTCTCGTTTACCACCAGTATAAAATTGCCCTCCAAACAATTGCCCGACTAATCTTTCTTGGTGTGGTACATAGCGTTATGTATCCTACTGTAATACTCGGCAGCAAGCCAGATTTTTAAACTTATATGAGATACATATGCATATTTCCATAAGGATAAATCTAAATATATATATACAGGATTATTTCGTTATTAGAATATTAATCCATAATGCAATTATATATCGTTCCCATCATTCACTTATTAATATTATTACTGCTGTAGCATGATAGAGTGAAGTTATATTTGTATAAAGCGAAGTTCACTATATCATATAAGATTTTTGTACAGATGAGATTTGCCGATTCCAATGTTCTCGGTACTTTGTCTCAATGATGTAAATACCACTGTATTAGTTCTGTGCACTTTTTAAAATACAATTATATAAGAAGCTTGTCTATATATATATATGATGAATGAAGATTTTTATACAATATACAACCTGCTTAACACGTCATACATGAAAACAAGAAGATATATATATATACATATATATACATACATATATATATATATATATATATATATATATATTCTTTTTTTTCTGATGTACACAAATTACTTTTTTATTTTAGGTTGGAACCAGAACAGACGGTAACTTTAAGATGTAATTTCTGGTACATGCGTACAGTCAATGTACGATAGAGCTTAGAGGTTCAGCTCGTATCGCTGACAAGTCCAGTCGTGCATCCATTTCGTCGTCCAATTCTCCCACTATTGCTCTGAAAAAAAAAAGAGCGCATAAAATATTGTGTACATCTTGCATAAACGTTCATGTTTCATATTTATTTCACTTGTACAGAATAGAATAATGTAAAATATAAGCAGAATGGTGTAAAATAAAATTATTTTTCTATTACTACTTTATATAACGAAACGAACATATGCATGTACGGTAGAAATAGTATTAATAAAAATCATAATAGTACAATGATTGAAGTTGTGCATTTTGTAAGATTGGTCTCTGAAGATCATACTAACATGTTATCACCCCTGATGATGTGTAGACCCAGGACAACTTGCTCCACTCCTTGTGTCGTGCTGTATACTCGTTCATGTGACTCATCCAGAATTATGTTGATGGTTTGGTCAAAGCCTTTTAATGTTCCCTGAGAAAGGAAATACCATTTGAAATTCGATTAGATGTGAAACTATAACCCTATAAATAATTGCAGAATAGATACAGAATATGATCAATTCCCCAACAGGTTAAAATGTGGCTCATGTGCAAAATATAATTATAAAAATTTGGATATGCAAAAGGACACTATTAGTTTTCTCAAAAAGAAAAAAAAGACAACACTGTGTCATCACCTTGTGTGTGTGTGTGTGTACATGTCATTCCCAGGTACGAAATATGTCTAAATGAATTTTTGGGTAAGTGAGGATCACTCATGAATATATTGGTTATTTCAGCACACTTATGAGCTTGCAAATACGCATACTTACGATGAAATTCCTACCGTCCGACGTGATAACGGAGACCGTGTCTAATAATCATTTAGGACAACACATGTATATCTGTTCGTAGCTGCTTGGGAAAAAAATTGAAGAACGTAAAGGATACGATTCACATAGCTTTCTAAGCCCGACGCCATTATTTATCATCGGCTACCTGTCAAAATATATCGAATGTGCAACCGCATAAGTACGCATTAGCGGGAGACGGCGGGTGGTCGACGACGCCGAATAAAGGTTAAAGCGAAACAGTTGCCAAACAAACTTTCCTCGCACCGATCATATCGTATAACCGTCGTCGCTGCAAAAAACTGCGAATGCGAATAAGCGTGAATGTTCCCAGAACACGACGTGCTAGGGAATTTGTGGTCACACTGTCTGGCATCAATCGCTAGGTTGGCCCGCCGTCATGGCGGATCTCAGTAAAATATGAAAAAGCGCGGGATATCGTTCGTCTTACGATTCCGTCAACGACGGAAGCGGAGGAAAACCTAGTCGTTTTTCAATCGCTTCACGCGCTTCCCGCCAGTATGGACGATTTCACCGGTGTTATTTCGTCACGCTCGTGAGTTCATTGCTCGATCAAATTTCCTCGAAGCGTCTAATATTCTCTAAGACGGACAACATGAGACAGGTATCACCGAAGGACGTATTGTATACAAACACGAAGTAACTCCGTCGGATAACACTTGGTTCGCGTTACTTGGTGGCGTTCGGCCGAATAATTATACACGGTGCGGATCGAATGTTTAACGACACAGGCAAGCACCGTCGATGAGACAGGCCGCTGGATTCGCGTAAAGATATTTGCGATGAACGCGTCGGGAAAGAATCATGTCACGATCGTTGGCGCGTCGTTCCACGAAAATGTGTTTCTTCTGACGCAGGTGGTACCGCCGTCCCTTGAATTTCAGAAACATTTCAAGAAGGTACGGCAACGAGTAGTTTAGAAAAATCGACGTTTTCACTTTATCTTATCCGTAAATTTCTTAACAAGCGTGTTTTTACTCCTTGGCAGAACATGTTCGACAAGCCCAACATAGCTGGTTTCCTGCATGTGTCTTATTATCTGTCGGTCATATACGACGCGAAGCTGTTCAAACAAATGGTCAGTTGGCCGCTGTCGTGTAAGAAGGATGAAGTCATGTACCGCAGTGCAATAAAGGGCTTCCTCTCTGTTCTGTCACGTGACAATCCGGACGTTAATTTCCCGACGATTCTAACGTCTCACTTGGCGCAAGCAGGAGGGGCCAAGTTTCTAATCATCATGTGGAAGGTATCGCAACTTGCTCTCAGAGCTTACATTAAGAAACAATGTGGGTAATATATTCAGTATGACACTAAAGACAGCCACTGTTCCACCCATCGTTGTTTATTCAAGATGTGTCCCCTTAGTTCAAGGGGATTTGCTGAACGCACCACGTTTGAGTCCAGCTGATGATCTGACTATAGCATACTTCAATGGTGTAATCGCTGAGAGATGCAGACTCACGCGGGAAATGCACAGGAAAGCGAAGAGAGTTCTGGATACTGCAAGTAACTTTCTCAAGTAAATCCTGGAAATTATATTTGCTCGCATGGTGAAAATTCTTCTCAGTTTTCCGTGTCGACGGTTTTCCTTTATCATCGTACGTTTTAGGAGTGAGATGGAATTACAAAGTATATATAAGTCGGAGATTTTCGATAGGACGCAGAACATAAAGAAACTGGTATTTGATATGTCGGTTCATCCATTGGTTCAGAAACAGCTGATGGATGTCCAAGATTCTAACATCGTAAACAGTTTGTGTTCTCTCTCTCTCTCTCTTATAAATATTATATATAACATGTCTACACAATGTTAGTTTAACATTGCAGTATGGAAAAGGAACATATCGAAGAACCTGCAATATATATGTAGCAGGAACGAGAAGTTAAGCGAATTGGAAGAATCTTGCAGACACTTGTGCAAGCTCGTCTCCAAGATAATCTCGAATTCGGGAGTGCTCGATGCGAATAAGTTACCCAGGATTAACGACGACAACCGATTCCTACGTACGCAGGTAGGAGTGTCTTCATAAGAAGTAAGAATAAGAAATTAGCCAATCATAGTCGATTGTTCTCTTTACATTCGAATACGATTGGCCAATTACTTACTCGTATTTCTCACAACATATAAAGTCGATTATCAGTAATGATTTACTTCACAAACATTCTGCTTCAGGATTTGTACACGAATGGCTCCATCGCGTTCTCCACTCTGCTGTCATTGGTCAGTCTGGCGTCCGCACGGATACTGCACCGTATAAACATCGCCGACTCGTCGGACTTGTCGCGTTGTTCGCTGTATATTGAAAAGGCTCGGAAAAACATCAAAGTCCTGCGATCGTTGTTCGTCGCGCTCGACGTGAAGCTCACCGGCCTGCATCTGGATGAGCAACGCATCTCCGGGAGAGTTACGAAAGTTCCGGTCTGTCTCGAAACAGATAGCGCGTCGTTCATCGCAGAGAACAGAGAGATACTGTTGGAATCCCCTGAGATCAGCTTTGACTTGGATCAACGTGTGGATAATGATCACTTCCACAAAACGTTGTGTCCATCCCCGACGGAAGGTACCGCTTGTTAAAGTCACACCGTTTTTGAGAACGTAACTTTTGCCACAGAAACGTAGCGACCATTTCTAGGTGAGCATAAGCACCTGTTTAGAAGACACAAACGTAAGTATTGCCCATACGAGTGGCCGGTGGCACCGTCAAGCTTCAGCGAATCCTCTTGGAACCACATGAACGGATGGCTGTCTCCTCGAGCATACTCTTTGAAGAGTGAGCTGATTACACCCAATGGGAAGTCAACTTCATCCTTGTACTCCCGACTGTTAGCTTCCTCCAAATCATCGCCTAAACGTTCCGCAGGTTCGTCGTAATTTTTCGATACTCCGATGTACTTGGAAATCTTGACGCCTTGTAAATTGATGCGTAATCTTTAGGGAACATGTTGCACAGTCAAAGTTCAACCTGCGAACGATCGACGCAGAGAAAACTCCGTCGTTCGATATCGGGCCAACTGACAAACCCGAGAGTCTGTAATGGAAGAGCGAGGAATCTCTTCAATTCTTCTGTGATACCGTCCTCGTTATATATATCCTAAGACATTGGGTACTGATAGGATATACAAATCTAGGATGTGAAAAAGATGTCTGATAAAAATAGAACCTGTGCTGGAAGTGTTGCCGGTGACTAGATTATTGTGTTAGAAAGTATAAATAAGTTGATGATAGTTAACTAATTGGAAGTTTAGAGAATATTATTCGGACTCATCAGGTACATGGATTTGCACTTACGCATGTAAACTCCGCGCGTGCCCGAGATATGGCGTTATTTTATATTATATTTATTCCGCGATTTCATTCATTTTCATTCTCTTGCACAGTTTATATCTATAAAAGCCCGTATTGAGCAACGAAGATGTACAAGATGAGCGATGAAATAAATGTTACACAATTTTCCACGATTGATTTCCGATCAAATTGCGAAGACAGCTCACAGCCTGAGAGTTCCTTAACGTCACGCTCGGTTTTTAAACGCGATCGAGTCCGACAGATCCGCCGTTTCCGCGGGACGAAAGTGAACCTAGATGGCGCCTCGCGCACTCGAGCGATCAGCAACAACACTGCACTCGCTGACCGATAGTTGAATCCGTGACGGGACGCGCGGCAAGGCTCGAGATCCTTTGACATTTGGCGCGACACCTCCGAAGTCCGGCGCAAGTCGATTGAACCATCGATCGCATCCCTCCGGGAACCACGGATCACCCAGACACGCGATCGTTTCTCCGACGAGGTGATCGTACGACGAGGAAGACAAGGAGGAGGGTGAATTGCGCGGCGACGACGTGGCGAATGTGATGCAAACCGTGCGGTCGCGTCGTCGGTATTGTGCAACGTGAGGGAGAGCGAAGAGGAAGCACGGAGGAAGGCGGAGAAGGAGAGAGAGAGAGAAGGAACGCGAAGCAACGTGAGACAACGACGCGACAAGTATGGCGGTAATCCCATCAGCTGATAGCGTCCGTCTGTGGGATGACGGGCCGCATTTTGGTTAATCGGGTTAGATCGCCCTCCCCTCACCGCGCGCTCTCTCTCGTCGACGTCGATGACCACAGCTGTGCATATCGCTCGGCGGTTACATTACTACGTACGCACGTACGTACGAGGTCGCATGACGCATAGAGGATGCACTCGTCGCTAACACGCTGGCACAGGATTTTTTCCGAGGTGCATCACGCGTCGCCGACAGACGGACGATAATCGTACGGGAATGTCGCACCACAGGTAGGGTTTCCTCCACCGGAATACTCCGTACTCAAATACTCGTACGCGTATATATGTATTCTTTCTCCCTCTTTTCTTCCTCCTCCTTTCTCTCTCTCTCTCTCTCTATATATATATATATATATTTATCTATCTATCTCTCGGTCTCTCTTTCTCATTCTCCGTCCAAAGTTTCTCGATCTTAGCTGCTAACGGAGAGATAACAAACGGAAGAGTGTCCGCTTAATCGGAGCGGCGTGGAGTCCGGGCGAAGCGATCTGTGATGAGCGACTCCGAACAGCGGCAGCTGCACGTGCCTTACCGAGAGTACCACAGCCAGAACAACACCAGCCCTGCCGCTCTGGTGGAGACCGATGCGCTGGTGGACCTGTCCATCGCGCCCAGCAGCCGCCTGTCGCAGAGCGACCACCAGCAGCAACCAGTCGCGATCGCCACCGATCTCTTGCCGGACGTCGAGTTCATTCCGGGTCTGAGCAACGACCAAACCCTAGCCATAGATTCCTCCGGGATCGACCGGGAGAGCCAGCCTCTCCTCGGTCGCTTGGAACTCGACGTCACGTTCAACAGATTCTCAGGTGCGGTTTTCACCCTCCCCCGCGAAATTAGACTCCGACCGTGTATTTATTCTCTGACTCAGCCCCGATATCTTTCTGAGAATCTTACGCGAGGCGTCTTTTAAATATATCTGTGCTGTCACCAGATGACCCACAGTTCTCGGAGCTGGTGTGGCAAGCGGAATGCGCGATAGACAATGGGGTCTACCCGGAGAGGATATACCAGGGCTCCAGCGGGAGTTACTTTGTAAAGAATCCAGCAGCGGTAAGATCTGTTTACGACCCGGAGCGAATCGAGTGGGAAAGACAAAATTGGCTCCTGTTCTTTACAGCCGCACTGCTGAACCGCCGAGTGCGATAAGTTGAAACGCGACGACGTAATATGTTTTCTCACTTCAACCTATCGCAGCGACGCAGCTGTGAGGAACGGAGCAAGTGAACCGGACGACACCTTTGAGACGTCCTGACAACGAACCTTGCGCTGTTCTAATTCGTCTGATCGTGTGACCTCCTCTCTTTCAGAAAGTGATCGGCGTGTTCAAGCCGAAGGACGAGGAGCCTTACGGCAGGCTGAACCCGAAATGGACCAAATGGATGCACAAGCTCTGCTGTCCCTGCTGCTTCGGCAGGAGCTGCCTGATCCCGAATCAGGGCTACCTGAGCGAAGCGGGCGCCAGCTTGGTTGATCGCAAGCTGGGCCTCGGCATCGTGCCGAACACCCGAGTGGTGAAGCTCGTCAGCGAGGTGTTCAATTATCCGCGCTTGGACCGTCAGAAGGCACGGATGAAGCAGGCGATCATGGACCAGTTCCCCACGGTGGGCTCACACTTCAATCGCATCGGGCTGCCGCCGAAGGTCGGCTCCTTCCAGGTCTTCGTCGACGGCTACAAGGACGCCGATTATTGGCTCAGGAGGTGGGAGAACGAATCTCTGCCGGCGCGTCTCAGTCGGGACTTCCAGTTGCAGTTCGAGCGGCTTGTCATCCTCGACTACATCATCAGGAACACGGACAGAGGTAAACAAGCTGGACCGCTTAGATCGTGTCCCGGTCTCGCTAGACAGACCCCGGTCGCTGTGCACGGTGTTTCGTGCCGCAGGTAACGACAACTGGTTGATCAAGTACGACACCAGCGTCGGCAAGAACGGGAGCGAGCAGGGCGAGGTGAAGATCGCCGCGATCGACAACGGCTTGGCCTTCCCCTTCAAGCACCCGGACTCTTGGCGGGCGTATCCCTACCACTGGGCCTGGTTGACACAGGCGAAGCAGCCGTTCAGCGAGGTCACGAGGGAGCTGGTTCTGCCGCAACTCTCGGATCAGAACTTCGTGCAAGATCTATGCGACGACCTGTACCAATTGTTCAAAGTACGTCGTACTTTGTCGTTGTTGTAGTAGCCCTTTAACTCGGGTAACCGGCGGTGTAACTCACGTGGACGGTGAGATAATCAGCCAGGTCACACGTTGGCCTCCGGGCTTCAAAACCGGAGTTAAAGGGTTCACCCAGACGGTCTCGTCTCCGGTTTGTTATCCGCGTCACGACATGTACGGTTTGCGTGTTATCTTTGTAGCAAGATAAGGGTTTCGACCGGCACCACTTCGACAGGCAGATGAGCGTGATGCGCGGGCAGATTTTGAACCTGCAGCAAGCCTTGAAAGACGCCAAGAGCCCTGTGCAATTGGTGCAAATGCCGGCTGTAATTGTGGAAAAGTATGTACTTGTTTGTTTGCATCCCTGAGTTGACGCCACTCGGACTCCGCGTTCCCTCCGGCGCTCACGTGCTCTGTCATTTTGTTCTTCCTTCGGCGTATAATGAACGATAAGAATAGAATGACGCTCACGCAGCACGTGAGCGTCCGAAGAGAACGCAGCTTCTGTGACTTTGTCACGCTGTGCTTGCTTTGAAAACCTGCGAGAAATTCGCTGCACGTATGTGTATACATTTAATAATTTCACAACGCAACTTTTATTTCACACCTATCGTTAACTTATTATGCTCTGTATTATTTTTATGTTTGTAGTTTTATTTTTTTTATTTTTTGTGTCTTTTAAGTTCACAATTTTTTCGCATATAATATTTAAAGGGCAGAAACCTGGGCGCTCGCGTGCTGTCATTTTGTCTTTCCTCTTTTATTCTAATCTCTTTTATTTCCAGTTAAGTCACATTTCTCATATTCAAAATGATTGTATCTGGTACCGTTGTACGATTTTCCCGATTCAACGTTTGCGCTCCGTTGACCGGGAAAATTTGGGAAATCGGTGTGTCGATGGATTCTTTTAATCCTGGTCTCTGTCGGCAGTGGTTAAGCGGGGATGGTTCATGGTGCGTTATTTTGCTCGCAGGGCCAAAGGGAACGGCGCTCCGAGGTTGTTCTCGTTCTCCGACACGTTTACCCAGCGCTTCCAGAACAAGAGTCCGTTCTTCTCCTGGTGTTGAGGACGCGTGTTCGCATCTTCTACGGGTGTCGACGAGCAATCGAATCAGTGAATCGGTGTCAGTGTGTCGAGTTACACAGAGAAACGATCCTGCGCGCCGCGAATAATATTGTCACTTATTTTTCTAAGTTTATCCTACATTTCTACCTCTCTTTCGTAAGTTTCATTTCCACCACCGCCGCGGCCGCGGATCGACCGGGCCGGTTGTCCTTTTTAGGCTGTCCTATATTTATAAATAATCTCTCTCAGTTTGATTGGGATATAAGAAATATTCGTATAATTATATTGTATACAGTAAATATATATATAACGTTAATACGGATTCTTTTAATGCGTTCAGCTGTGCATGAAATGTGGGAGAAAAAAGAAGAGAGAGAGAGAGAGAGAGAGAAACGCGCGTGCGCTGTAAGATTCGCGACGCACGATATCACGAACGAAATGCCAGCTCTGTAGTTCGGAACGCGTCTCTCTCTCTCTCTCTCTCTCTCGTGTTTTCCACCCGCACACACAGGTCACACGCATACACACCGTAGCTCGTGCCAATCGGTAATTATAAAATGCATAGATTGTTACTTAGAAAACGACTGTCGCGCGTCGCTCCACCACGCTTAGACGTCGAGTAACAAATATGAACAGACAGATGCTTCGTCATGCGAGTATTTTCCTTCTGCTACGCGTAAGATGATGTTGGCTGTTTCAGTTAGTTGGCTCCGAAGTGTCGATCGTTAAGTATACTCGAACTACGCAACGCGTGAAACTTTTTCAAGTTTGTAAACTGTGATCTTGTGGTGTATGTGTGCGCCATGTGTGGCGCGTGGTATACGTATCGATGACGACAGAGAGAGAAAGAGAGAGAGAGAGAGTTCCGCGTAGACGTTAATAATGACGCTAAATCGTTAAGTACAAATGAGACCGCTATACTAATGAAGTGTGTAGAGACGAGATCGAGTTTCTAGCGCAATTTTTATGAAAATTATATATTTTCGCCTGTCTCTTCTCTCTTGTAACGATAACAACACACCGTTCTCTCCGTCGAACGAGAGAAATATAGAATCCTGTGATCTCGTATTCTCGTACTTACCTCGACACACACACACACACACACACACACACACATGTATATAAATATAATTTTCCGACGACAATGCCGCGCGAAGTTAGTCCAGTATGTTGATACGTTGGAGACGTGTTTTATCGCTTCCGAGATGTCACGAGACCCCGACACCGAGACGCGCTGTTTCGTTCACTTGAAATGTTTTGATATTCGTTATTGACGATTACGATTTATGCGGGAGGTGTTAGTACAATTCATTCGATTAACGAATCGCATGACAACGACGACGACGAGGTGGGGAATTCAAAGCCGCGAAGATGGAGGTAGTCGAGTCTTGTTCTTCGAAGAGAAAAGCCTTACCGGCCACGACGTCGATTACGTGTCCGTGCAATAGAAAAGTAATTTCTGCACAAACCGATCTCGACTGTTCTCCCTCGACAGTCCTTACGTAGCGCTTACGATGCAACAACCGACGTAACACACCGGTTGTTGCAGAATGCCAATTACTGTTTCATTACTCGATTAAACGTTTGCAATTGTGCAAAATCACCCGCTTCCTCAGTTGTGTAATCCGTACTTGATTATAACATAGAATATTTATATTGTAATACATATTATAATTCCGTATTGTAATTCGGTGCATGTTTGTAATACACATTCATATTCGCGCGCGCACACATACACACACACACACACATATAGTACGCCAAGAGATACGTGCAGCCGCCACGTGTGAAATCTTTCGCGCCGGAGCGACTGTACAAGATCCCGTCGAAGGAACTCGAGACCGGCACGACGTATCACTTGTCTTACCTAAATGTGGACCCGGCGGCAGCGCGTCACGCGCGACCGCAACCGATTCGGCCGACTCGTACTCTCGATAAGGGCACCGGCCGATTTTTCGATGACACGACCACCAAACTGTCGTACCAGCCCGTGTGGCAGTTCGTCAAAAGGGAACCGATCATGCCGAAACGTAGGTAAGGGAAACAGTTCTACGAACACGGTCGTCATGCGCGCTCCCGCCAATTCGAGAGAGAGAGAGAGAGAGAGAGGGGGGAGAGTCAATAATGAATGATCTCAAGGGAGATTTTTTTTCCGCTGGCAGGCGGCAACGTCGAAAATACGCTTCCAGTATCGGTAGACACGCTGATAAGGGTGACGAGGATGCTCGAGCTAACGCGCAAATTACTTTACACGCGTCACAGACCGATGGCCGGTCTAGGCAGGATGGAGGACGTCACGACGATCCGCCGCGATTACGTGGCGAAGCACGTGAAGAGGCCGGCAGCGATCGTACCCTTTGGTAACATCCGCACGAGCTCGGCTCCGTTGGAGAACAGGACGATAACGAAGATGGCCTATCCTTCGCCGGGACCTACGGAGCCCACGGCCAGTTTCAAACCGAGGCTGAGGTATTGCCCGCCGAGCCAGCCTCTTCCCGACGAGACCACGCAGAAGCTGAGCTATCAGCCCTTCGTTCTCGGCGAGAGGGAGTCGTACCCTTGGGCGATGAAGCCGACGTACAAGTACGTATCAATGTTGCCGTCCGGTGTTACTTTTCACAAGAGGGAAAGGGTTAATAAGCACTCATCATGTGTCCCCGTCGAGTAAACATATAAAAAGAACGTATTGTAAATACAGAAAAGAGTGTTCTGTTAAAACTGTTACTTGGGCTCTCGAAGGATCGATAATTGATTACCGGATGACCGCCGAATGTCGATGTGTACTCAATCTCCGAGTGTTCCAGGCGACCGATCGACGCGATGTGTGACCAGACCACTTATTCGGAGAGCTACGTCGAAAACGACGTGATATGTGCGACGAGGCCGATCTTGCCAATCGCAGCTTGCAGGGTACTCCCCTGCGGCGCGGAATTCGCAGACAAAACCGTCTACAAGGAGAGCTACCTGCCGGGCGAGATGGAGCGCGTGGAGCCGATCCTCCCCGTCGGCAGTATTTCCATACCCGACGTGAAGATGCTCTCCGACACGACCACCAAGGTGGTGTAACAACCAACTCTTCTCCCTGCCGACGAACACGCTCTCTTTCTCTTTTTTCTCTCTCTCTCTCTCGTCCCGTTCGCGCGTCACTCGTCGTAATGACGAACGTCGTTACTTATGCGAATCGGCCCGCAGCTGAGTTACCCACGAGTCTGGGTCGAGAAGCGACGGCCGATCCTGCCCCGTCGCAGGCCCGCCCTGGGAGCCGGCGCGACGATGCAGTCCGAGACGACGACGGGCAGCGAATACGTGGCGAAAACGGCGCCCCGGCTGGGCCCCATCGTCCCCAGTGGCAATATCCGTATGGCCGACGTGCCGTTGCAAGGCGACACGACCACCGCGTTGTCTTACGCGGAACCCAGCGCGATCGAGCCCGCCCGCAGTTGCAAACCCATCAGGCTGTATCGCAGGTGAGGAGGGGAGCGAGATGCACGCACGTACGGAGGCGTGAACTAGCGCAAAGTCTAAGTGACAAGGTCCGAGGCGACGACAACGTCGTCCGAGACCGCCGCCTCTCAGACGCCCCTTACGTTCGCCTCCTCCAAGCGCGTCTTCGAGATCGATAGTTTCGAAAAGACCAAATTCTTATCTCAATTTTACCGCGGATTTTCCGGCTTCTTTCCCCAGTGGTAGGAAATGCGTTTGGAAAAATTCGTATTCGAGATTATCCATTCTTGATTTAGGACTAATTCTTCTTTCCGTGCGCGCCACATTTCTTTCTTTCCGTAAAGACAATTGCGTGCACTTCACTGAAGTAACATAAAGTTAATATGTTATATATTAAACGATGGAATATTATCTTCAAAGAATTACAACCGAATACGTTGTTAACGGATATTACTTTTATTATTATTTATATTATAATTATATATTATATACTGTATTTTGTATGTTACATATTTACTCGCAATATAATGATTTCTTTTTACGGAAAGAGATAAGTGTTGTCGGGACAAGCGCAATGTCGCGTACATTATAATTCGAATGAAAAGCTCGAATCTAAGGCCCGTATCAACAGTTGTTACTTGTATCGATCTCGCGCAATGCGTCTTCATCCAGGCCGGACGTGAAACTCGAGGCTGAGACGATAAATAAGTTATCCTATCCAACGTGGACGCCGCAGTCCAAGGAGGTGATTCCGTGGGCACAAAAGGCCAAGTATCAGCCTCCTTCGCAACCGATGGTCGGCGATACAATCTATCACGCGAGTTATCCGGCGCCGGGTCACTACGTCGAGGAGGAGGAGGACGAGGTGTGCGCCTGCCCAGATGACGTGTGCGCTTGCCCAGATGACGTTTCAACTATTCCGGCCAAAGCGGGGCTTTAAAGCCATTAAAGCCATTAAAGTGAGCAACTGAGCTTTCGGACCGGACGCTGGCAGTAGTCGAGAATCAGTAACGATTGTTGATTGATGAACTATGTATTTGTCACTTGAACCCACGAAGGCGGCCGAGATCCCGTTTACCCGAAACGAGAAATTTATTGACATATAATAAAATAAAACGAGATATTTATTTATATACAATAAAGTGATATAAGTGATCTCAGTAGCAAACGGATCTTCCTTCAAATTCTTCGCGAGATGCATCGGTCACAGGAAAGGTCGCTATACTTTCCTCTAATGAGTTTTGCAACGCAACTCATACTCTCAGCTGGGAATCGCTGAAGAACAAATTCCTTCTACCGGACACGGGATGCGTTGCGAAACTTAAAAAAAAAAAAAAAAAACTGTTACGACCTTTTTTGACTGACCATTAAATTATTTAACATTCAAGCTTCCAGAAAAATAATAATATATACTACTGGAAATAATGTTGAAAAAAGAAAATCGGATCATATTTGAGTGAGTTCAATGTGATTGGTTCAGTGAGATGTGAGTGAGTTCATATCCGATTGATTTAGAATCAATTTTATTGCGCGTAAACATGCGTGTTATGTTACACTTATTATACTACACTTAACGATTACAGGTAGAATAGACCGATAAGAGTAAGAGCATATCTTACGGGCCGTAAAATCATCCTTGGTAATAAAATAAACTCTAATCTTTGATAAAAAGATCAATAGCTAATACTAGCTCGTATCTCGCCAAGACGTGTGACTTGGCGTCTCGTTTTACATGTTACCTTACAATGATATAAATATATAAGAGGAGAGACAACGCTATGTGCACTCCTACTCGCGACGAAATCCAGTGTACATTTAACGGTGTTTTACATATGTATACAATCGATAGATTTTTCTTTTTCTCCTCTTAATAATACATACATAAGACACAGAGACAGGGGAGGGAATGGAGCACCGTAATAAGTATATAACTAAACTTTACAATGTATGTGTGTACGTGTCGTGCGCACGCGTTAACCAAGCCCACAACAAATGTTTTTTTTTTTTTGCGCGCGTTTCCTTTCTCTTGCTCCGTTAAAAATAATAAAAAAAAAAGAAGAAACAATCACTAAGGTGATAATACGTAACCTATACGATTATAAGTAAACCTTTATACATAAATGAATCACCTCTTAGTAAAGCTATACATATGTACTCATGCATACATATACACTCTCGAAATATACCAGCTAAGTTATCACGAGACAAAGATTAAAATTAAAAAGAAAAGAAAAAAGGAAGGAAAGAAGAAAAGAGAAAGAGAGAGAGAGAGTAGTAGTAGTAGTAGTAGTTAAAACGTATATACCTAATCTCATCGTCGAAATATTCCCAGAAATCCTCGAAGAATTTAAGACCAAAGTCTAAGAATTGTAAGGCACGTACTTTTAGATCGTCACAATCGGTATGCGGCTACACACGATGCACATGTGTGTGTGTAACTCGTGCACACTTCATCCTCTTTGATTCCCTTATCTTTAGTATAACTCAAGTCGAACAAATGATATTTTAACAGACTTCCTCCTCCTTTTTACACTTACATTCCTTCTCGATATCTGAAGAGGAAAAAAAAAAAGAAACACTCAATGGCAATTTGACTAGGCGGCACGGTACGGTCGCACGTATGAAGATGATTGTCCATTTTCTACGTCGCATTGTACTCTCATAATCTCTCCTCCGATAAAATCTCTACCTTACACATCGTTGTATGTTAATTCTTAAACGTATATATCTCTCTCGAAAATTCATACAACTAACAGCACCTCCCGTCACTTTTTGTCTACTATCTCTAAAGATGTGAGAAAACTGACGTGTAATTATAAAATCGTACGTATATAGTGCGCACGCTAATCGGCAAAATAGCCTTAACACGGTGCAGATAAATCGTAAGAATTTTCTAACTGCACAATTGATTCTTATATTATTTAACGATCATTCAGAGAGAAGAAAAGAACGATATGTATCGCGGCGTCAGCGATCTGTCACTGTAATTACTTTAATATCTACCAACAAGTATAGTTGAGAAAATATTGATAATCTAATTACACTGCGCGTTAAAGCTACTCTGCTGGTTGACGTACGTGGAAAAAAAAGGAGAAAGAAAAAAAAAAGAAACAACATGATTTATAGTAGATTCGTTAAAATTCTCTCTAAAACGACCTAAACTGATTAACAAAAATAACATTATACTATGTTCATAATATAATTCTACATAAATGTCGTTATTAGTCGTAGTGTTACTTTTAAACATGCAATATACAAATCTATTATCATTATACATATGTTTTTTAAGCGTTTCGTATATCATAAATGATGAGCTACGAGCTATGAGCCTTTGTACTAAGTGTTCATCATATCTTACAAAGAATCTGGACTAAAGCCGACATTACACGGGTCTGTAACGTCAGTTTCAGTTTACTAAAACTGATATCAAACGGGAACTCGAAACAAAAACGAAGAATCTATCAAGTCCGATTAACTTCAACAAACTCGTGAGTTGCAGTAATAATCATTAAAAAATTAGAGGGGGGGGGGCGACTTTTGGTCGCTCGTTAAATAAACAAAATAGTACAAACAGTTTGCGAAACACGGAGAAATTTAGACAGGTTTGGCGTCACCGTGTCTTCCTCACTTTAAAGCTACGTAACAAGATTTAGAAGATTTTCCACAATTCTCAATAATTATACAAAATTCAAATCAACCAAATTCATCTTTAATCACACCGCCGTGTGAGTCAACATCATCGATAAGTGTCTCGTTTGACTCGTAACACTCAGACAGCCCAAGTAACTTTTTTTTCCTTTTTCTATACTACATTATTTCTCCTCGTATCTCATCTCATCACATATATCTTCATCTCTGTTCACATTATTATTTCGTTCCTTCCGATACAAATATTTCCAACGTTACAGAGACTTAGCTCGATTCAGTTTCCCTCGCTGCTCGAGAACTCGACGAGAGGGAGAAAAAACCTCCGACACATTGTCCCTTTTTTACATACTCTATAAAACGTAATACCCGTACCATATTTTATAAGATACAATATACCATGCTTCGTGTAACATACAATATACCATATTTTATAAGATATAATATCTGCGATGTGTGGAATTAAGCATTACGGCGCTCCAGGTCTCTCTTTGCGTCGTTTCCTTCCTCAGGAAAGAGCAGTCAGAAAAGCGCAGGATCGTCGCCAAAATCCCAGATTGCAACGACGCCAGATCGGTCGGAAGAACGCTGCGCTCTGAACGCTGAGAGACGCTCCACCACACACACATACACACACACAGACACACGTTGACCCCGACGAAGTCGCCAGTAAACAGACTCGTCGGAATTTTCGCGACGGTGGCTAATAGACACGCGACTGACACAAACGTATAACACAATGACGCCTCCAAACGAATTGCACATTCTTGCATTGAGTTGGACGACGACGACCGTCTCCGTCATTCGCGCACGGAGATGCGTTTCACAGGCGATCTCAAAAATACAATGCGCTCTCTCCCTCTCTCTTTCTCTCTCCCTCTCATGTAAGGCTCGCATACAAATCTTAACAGACACATTTGAAACGCCTCTCTTAGGTAAGTAATCGTGCGCGCCGTGTCGCCGGGAACGGCCGACGGCGCGTGTGTCCCTCCCCCGTTAAACATAACAATCAACGGATCGCGTCCGGTAGCGTCCTTATTTTCAGCATGTGCACCGGATGAACCGTCAGAGATCGAAAAAGGGTCGGAGGTCGCCGATGATCATCGATTGGCTTACGACGACGACGGCAACGACAACGTACACTTGAACGTACCTATTATTGTGGTTTGTTATACGACTGCATGAACTCGGAGAAGCTGAAGTTGTTTAAGTGGTCCAAGTTGAGATTTTCATCAATTGATGTCAGCTCGTTCTGGCCCATCAGCTCCACATAGTCCATGTCCGAGCTTGGCCGTCCGACACCCGACTGGCCGAGACCAGGAGCGTAGCTACCACAAACCAAAACACAACCCCAATCACTGGCAATGCTTTTGGTGTCAAATTAAGTCTGCGATCGCAGTCGCTTAAAACGCTCTACACTTTTTTCTTTCTCTCGTTTTTTGCGGGCGAACCGGGGCGTAATACCTCTTTAGTTGTTCGTTACTTTTCTTTTTCTTTTCTTTTGAGAGGTCTGAACGCGTCTGAAAACGTGTTTCGTCTCTTTCTCGAAAGTGTGCGAGTGACCGATTCTTTTTTTTTTTTTTATTAGCCGGAATAGCCGGTACAACACGGCAAAAGGTACAAGACAACCACAAGAGTCCGCCAACTCTGTAGATCGGTCACTTGTCGTCCTCCGCGAACTTTGGAAAACCGGAGACCGGAAGAAGTTTCGCGAGGAGGTTTTACTTTTTATTTATTTATTATTATCTTTTCTCTTAATTTCTCTCTCTAATTTTCGCACTCGTTTGGACGACGATCTCGCGCGTATCGCAAAAGCGGGAATCACACGGGCGATACACGTAGCAACGAATTCGCGAGAGTGATAACGTGATTATAAGAACGTTTCTTTCTTTTATTTCTTTATTCAATTGCCAGCTGCGTTGGTAGAGTGATTGGAGCTGCGTTTTGCAGGGTAGTATTGAAACTTTCACGTTGTGGTTGTACCGGCTTATCTCAGGCCTTTGCTTCTCACTACTGTCTCTCTACATTCAAGCGATAATCATATAATAACCCTTTCTCTCTCACACGTAGGCACATAAAACTACACATTATCCTGTTGTTGCACGCAAGTATTCTCGACACGCAAATGTTTACGCTTATATACCATATACATACATACATATATACACACACATATATATATATATATATATATATATATATATATATACACATAATGCTACGTAATGCTAAATACGCAAAAGTTCATAATACAAAAGCTATATTATCGAAGCCATGGATAAGCCGTTGCGCTAGAAAAGTGAACGGTAAAAAACTTGGCAGTGTCGAAAGATCGATTACATGTTAATTTTTTTTCTCATCTCCCTTTCTTTTTTCGTTCTTTTTTTTTTCGTCTCATGATCCTCAGTGGTCCACAATTGAGATACAAAGCGCGAATCCATGGGCTACTAGCGCCTCGTTCGACGGCAGAGGCGCAATCTCGTCGTCGGCCGTAGACCACTTCTTGTCGCGCGTTTGCGAATTTATGAATCCAGGCTCCCTTCGTCACACTTAGAAGTTAGTTTCAAAAGCGTAAAGAAAAAGAAAAAAAGAAAAAAAGGGGATCTCAGTCTCGATATGAGCAACCGCACAATCATGTGACGACGCAAGATGTGCGCCGTCACGATGACGCGGCACGCATTTACTTATGAAGGCACTTTTGTGTATTAATTGACTCCGTTCCGATCACCCGAAAGTACTACCGTGACACGAAATTATCGATAATAACACGACTTTACACACTTGATAACAAGATAAATCTGGTATCGGTGTTGGAAAGTTATCGATAAACGATTAACGTGGCTATAGTCGCGGGCGAAAATCTTGCGGCAACAAATGCGTGTCGTGAGAGATACACAATTGAAACGAGAACGAATTTAATATTCATCGAGTCGTAAGAATGTATTGAAAACTATCATCTCTTTATTCCCCACTACAAATTCCGTTATTCCTTACAAAGTGACTGCATTAACGATGTCACATTTACAAGCATACTTAATGAATAAGATGAGGAAGCGCGGATTTATGGATCAGCAAACGCGACGGGAGACGCTCCGCGAGCCGGACCGATTGCGCTTCTGTTCGATACTAAGTTTACGAATCACTAATAAATTATACTGCGAATATTGGACGAAGATACCGCGGGGCAATAAATATACTTGATGAGGAGAAACGATAGAAACGATCGAGACACACTAACGAGAGAGACACACACACAATCACCGAGACACTTCGTGTGTGCGAATGGCGTTAATACATATCGCGTAAATATGTGTGTAAACGTACATATTCTTTTCGCATAAACAAAACCATCGTACACAAGTGTTGCATATTCGTGAAGAATATGCCACGTCATTCAGAATGAATATTCCGCCCGGTATCGTCCAATAATACAGTTACTACGAAACGAATTGTATATTTCGTCTTAATATAATATACATTACATTTTACATAACGTTTCTTTCTGTTGTAACTCTTACTAAGTACAATTATAAAATTATAAATGTTCCGTAAAAATGCTTACGGACTTAGAAAGATTTCTGTCAAAAGACGAGTACCTAAAAAAAAATAATAAAAAAAAAAAGGAAAGAAGAAGAAAAATACTGACAATATAATCCAACAACAGGATTCAGAAAGATAGGCAATATGTGAGCTTCTAGGAATGTCTGTCGTTTCAGTGGCCTCCCAAGTCCACGATTACAGGCCTTAACGTAGGCTCACACATTATTGTCTCCGACACTTTCATTTCTCTGCTTCACAGATGTTGATAGCTGAGTCCAAATTACGGCAAAAAACAATGAATAATCATCTTCTCTGTTTCCATCACCAAGTATGAATTACATATATTTCTCGATTCACGATGCGTAACTTGTATTTACACAGTGCATTCGCGTGTAATATTTAATTGTAAAGAAGGCCACGAATTTGGATTATCACCTCGATGGTTCACAAAGCATACGCGATATGTGTCTGATACCGATTACCACAGGGTGTCCCATAGACGAGGAGGCGATTTCTCGTGATAAGAAATGGAAAGTAATTCCTTCGACATCGGTCGTTGTGTTTCTCTGATAATAAAGGACGTGTTATATCTTCGAATTTTATATTATTCACGAATTTCGTTCATTACGAGATCTTATAGCTACGGTACTTTATAATAAACAAATAACCCATGTTTCGACGTTTCGCTCATTAGGTGACCCTCCTCGGTGATATACAAAATAAATCATTAAAATCACTAGTCTCCACCCGGACACACCTTATCTTAAAACATTGTCGACGCAGCTCGGGGGGATCTTCCCCTTCTTTTTCGATAGATCGTTGATTCATCGATCAATCTGGATTCCAACGATAGTTAAGAAAAAAAAAAAAACATGAGGCTCGTTAGTCAACCTAGATTGCACTTTTTATCTGTATTGCACTTTTTACTCAGAGAGTGAAACAAGTGTATAATCTAATGTTGAAAAGAAGCAAAGCTCCAATTCGGCAGCACCACAGTTCAGCCAAAACAAACCGGCCTTTATCACCAACGATTATTTTCATCTTCAGATTTTACTACGTCGATTGCGACGCGTAATCATCATGCGATCGACAATGTGGTCAATTATTGACTTTGCGTATCGTCGAGAAGAATGATGTCCACCTAATAATCGGAATATCGAAACGTGCGATATGTTCTCGTTCCTCGAACACATAAAACTCGAGCACCAACTGCACTCGGGACCCTTCTTACTAGCCCTTTCCTCCCCTCAAAGGGGCCATCACTCGTTTGTGCATTGTTTACTGAACATCCCGCGTAATTTGAGATTCGTTTCCCCGAGTGGAACAACGAAACACCGAACCTTCCGCGAGGACCTTCGCGCATCTCCAACGTCAAACGTCCCCGTCCGTAGTTTCCGAGTTTCTCAGTTAGCAAAAACATCATCATCATCACGATTGCCTTCGACAAGGTGACATATTACATCCATGCAACTGACCTGGAGGCTGTAGACGGTGTGTCTCGCGTAACAGACGGATCGGGACTGTGCGGTTGAAACACAGTCGACGCCGGCGTGGCCGGGTAGCTTCCGCCTGGGCCACCTTGACCGTTACCGCCGACTCCCACCACGGAGGAATGGGACGGTGTCTGATTGCCGAGACCGGGAGCGCTCCAACCTGGCACGTGCGTCACCAAGAGCGGCTTGACGTAGCCATTTGTCGACGTGGCTTGGTTGTCTGCAGAAATCCAACGATTATTGCGAATCCGAATCGCCGCTATCGGGATTCTTTTTATCAAGACAAACAGCAACGAATCGCTCTACTTCGCTGAACGATTCGATTAAATGCTGATAAATCTGCACGTACCGTTAAACGGTGTGTAGTACTTGGAGAAAGCCTGATCTTTGGTGAAATCCGGAAAGAGGTACAGCAGGTATTGCAAGTCGTTCACGCGGTCCGCCAGACATCGTATGGCGAAGTCCTTGCTCGTGAAAGGTTGCAGCATGAAGACTTCGGTTTGATCTGAAAGCAGGTCGAGAGAGACACACATGAGAGACTACGAGAAAATGACTCTCTCTCTCTCGTGAATTACCTTCCGCGCACCCGTGAACACACGAATATCTTTTGCGCAAGTTCTTTCACTCGGATATTCTTTTTTCTCTTTTGCGCCTCGATACTTTACCTGCGACCCATGCGATAGTGATACCGCCGAGCTCCGAGTCGGAGAATCGCATGAGAAACGTCCCGGGCGTGCAGTTCGCCAACATCTCCTCTGCCTGCTTCTTTCTGACGAAACCAAGGATGACACCGTCCGACCATGGGCCGCGTAGGTGCTCCCTGGTCAGCTTCATCACTGCGTAGAACCACTCCCAAAAGGTGAAGTTCCTCTCGGGCAACGGCTCCTTGCAGAATTGCGCCCAGGATAATAGCATGTTGGAGTAGTCCTGTCCGTTCGAGTTGCTGCCGCGGAAGGCTTTCTCCGCGAGGAATCGCTGATTCTCCTCCGTCAACGAACGGCCGGTCGCCGAGTGAAATTTCACGTTCAGAGCCTCGGCTACCTGCGGCCACGGTACCTTGTCCGGCACGGCGAATGGCACTCGGCCAGGCTCGGCGAACGCGTTGTCCCAAGTGACGGTAGCCCAAGCGTGGGGTTCTTGGTTACCGTGAACGATCACGACTACGGGCAGACTCAAAGTCCACACTTGGAATACCAGTTCACCGCCGCCTACGCTGAACTGCGACTGGAACAACAGTGAGAACTTCTCGTCCATCACGGACTCCGTGCCCTTCTTCTCCGCCCGTTTGATCTTTTTCAGCTGCATGTTGCGGAAGCTCACCGAGAGTTGTCTGGTTGTCTATAAACAGCGTGTCACGTCAGCACAGCAGTTGCGCAGAGTTTACCAAAAGTATGAAAACCCCTTAATATTTAAGAAAAAAAAAAAAAATGTTTCGTACAAAAGTTACAGTACTGTAACTTTCAAGCTGTGAAACTCGACAAGTAGTTAATGAAATAAATATTTTTATTTATAGTGTTTTGAAAAGCTCTCGAGATAAGCTGCACGAATATGCATGAAAAAATCGGGATTCTCATTAAAAAATTTCAAGCTGATCTTCACGTGATCTTGACGACGCTATTTAAAGGTATTGGTACTGCTATAAAGCAGTTATAAAACGCGTCACTTAAAACCCTACAACTTTTGTAGACAACATTTCCCCCTCGAAAATGCGCGGTATTCGAAATACTAAGGGGTTTCCACACTTTTGGCGAACCTTGTATATCGCAAGCGGGACTCGCGCTAATCTCATTCGCATTTTACGTTGTCAATGGAAATCGACCTTGAAAAATTCTCTCGCAAACCTGGTGGTATTCCATCGTGCCGGTGTTGTTCAAAATCTCGCCGCTGTTGTCATTCTTCATCTTGTCGCTCTTCAACAAAGCGTTCGCTTGCGTCTCGCTCACTATGTATACTCGGACTTGCGGCGGTGACATGTGCACGTTCAGCTTGCCGCCGACCAGGAGGCGGACCGTGCTCGTGAAACGAGTATTGGTCTTCATCACTTGCGGAGGCTGTTTCTCTATGATAAAGGTACTCGTGACCAGGGAACTGAGCAACTGCGTGATTTGCGAATTCAGCGCCGGGAACGGGTCCTGCATCGCCGTCGTGTTGAACATCAATTTTTGCTTCATAAGCTCCGCCTCTTTAATCTGCTGTCGCGTCAGCCAGATTATCTCGGCGAGGCCCTCGCACCACTCTTGAATGGAGTCCAAATTATTGACGAATTGTATGCCGTTTCCCGACAGTTGCTGATCCCTTTTCCATCTGAACACGAAATGTGAAGTGAGGTGAATTCAAGTAGTTGGAAAATCTCCTTTCTTTACTCAAACTGACGAGGCTCCGCAATGGACCGAAGCGTTTTTGCAAAGTGCGAGATTAATGAATCGTCATGTTCTAAGAACAGTGGTTTGGCTCTCATAGGCCAGGTATTAACATTTCCCTTTTCGTCGTGAAAAAATGTTCTCTCCGAACGACATCTCTCTTCTTCTCGAGCACTACTCGTGTCATCTGCGAGAAACAGATCGATCCTCTTACCTGATAAGTTCGTCGTCGAGGATTCTCGACTGCAGGCTGCCCAGTTTGCTGATGATCTCCTTCAGTTTGTCGGCCAGCAGCAGACGCGTTTGCATCAAGCCAGCCAACTTGTGATTCAGGATCTGCTCCTGCTGCTCTCTTTGTCTGGATCGGAAGAAGAGTCTCATTAATATGCAACGTATACGTACACATATATAGTAAGAAACAATCGCACAGTTCGCAAGTCGCACTGTCCTCACCTCCTGATCTTCTTATCGACGTCGAAATTCTGCTGATTCTGCGGCTGCGTGACGAGATGCTGCATTTGCGCGTTCAGCTTGGTGCACTCATGATAACTCAGGGCGAAGCTCTCCTGCTCGTGCTCCATCTTCCGTATGTCGTCCGCGCAATCGACCGCCTTCTGGCGCAGCGCGGTGAGCTGCTGAATTATGTCCACAGGCATGATCAATCGGTTGCTGGGTATATTCGGTAAAGGTGTGCCTAGACTTCCCTCGACCTGCTGCACGTATTTCATCTCTAACGCCAAGCAATGCTTGATGATTTTGAACAAGGCCGCTGGATTCTGCAGGTATTTGTGCTGCAATCAAAGAGCGACGGACATGCAGACTGAGGAATATCGTCACACTGACAGGTCCGATCGGTTAATCATCATCGCAGTGCACGACGCGAGATGCACTTACGCGAAACGACTTGGCAGCTTCCGTCAACTTTATCCTCGTTATGAAGAAGTCGTCCGAGGTGAAAGTCGCCGCTTTTGTCTCCAATTCGTGTATCATAGACTCGACAAAATTGGTCACGTATTGCTCGTGCTGCGGATTATCTGGATCTATGTCCGGCCTGAAGTGTCAAGTGTCACGAATAATTATGCCTGCGGATACGCCGCACACCAGGAGTCACATATATGCCTTAACATTACAACTGGGTTACTTGTGCGACTTTTTCAACTTACACATCGTACGCGAGGTTCGAAAAATTTACAAGATACTATTAAGATGCGATTTACCAGGGGGCTCCTGGTAAATTGCACTTACAATCGGTCTACGTTTGAGGGGATCTGTCCCAGAGCGTTGAATAAATTATGCCTTTATAAGAATGACAAAATAAGTGTTACGACAAGTGTCAAGGCATATACCTTGATATTGATAACTAGGGTCAATTGTGGAACGTTTCAACTGTATACAATGTAGAATTGAAAATCGTAGGAAACCCTAGTAAGTGAGTATTAAGGCTTATATGACGCCTGTAGCCTGTGCCTGCGCAATTTTAATATTAAATTCGAATAAGCTAGAAAAAGCTTATGTGGTATACTCGCCACATTTTCTCTTCTATCCACGATGACAAGAAGTGTCTCACTTCAATCGGGAAATGATCGCCATACATAGCATGCACTTGTTTTAATGCCTCGTTTGGCAACTGCTGGGACTTTGCCCACAGCGACATTTTTTACGATACTTTTACTTCCTGTCCAGAAAAAAAAAACAGAAAATTTACTTATATTTACCAGACACTCTATGGCTGTTCCGTATGTTAAGCTAAGGAGAATTATTCAAATTCCTCTTAATGGTGATAAGCATAATTACATCATCGACACATGAATGTATGGATGAAGCCTTTTACAAGGGAAAGCTGAGACTTAAGCGGTAAGAAGAGAATATATGGGAATTTCTGGCAGGGAGAGGAAAAAAGAGAAAGATTGCAAGAGGTAGAGGGTGCAAGTTAAAAGGACAGATCTTCAGAATCATACAAAGAAAGTATGTATTGCCAAATAGCGGTAAGAGTCGAACTGGATAACTCAATTCCAAATCTTAAAAGTCAAGAAATAAGACAACGTCCCGAAAAAAAAAAATGAGTCTCAAAATCCGAATAATCTTCCGAAGCATAACTTATCCGATACCAACTGTAACTTTAACTGTAATATCGAAATCAGTGTAACAAGATGAAGTAGTTTTCCCACACGTCGGGCAAATTTGTAAATAATGAGAGAAATTTGTTCGCGTCTCATTAAGTTCGAGCCGAGGCTTCGAACGAAGTTTGGAGCGCAGTCCTTGGCGCGACGGCATAAAATCGCCTCTGTATCCCTATCAAGGTTGAAATATCGATTTCCGTCTTCGCTCGCAAAATGCGAATCGCGCGCACAAAATTTCACACGCACATGGGAGAAGAAACGGAAGTTCGAGTCTCTCTTTCTCTCTCGCCCTTATAACAACTACGAATAAACCCGCCCGCGGAATCTCCAACACGGGCCATAATCTCCGAGTATTTACATACTTAGCGCATTTTTCCGAGCGCACGATCTCGCGAAACGCGGCGTATCGCCGACGATAAGCCGCGCGGCGCAAAGTGCGGCGCCGACGAGAACGAGCGAGCAAGCGAGCGCACGCACGAGATAAATTCGCCGGAGTGTGTTGCGCGACATGTACCTGCCGCCGCGAGATGCACTTGAAAGGGAGAGGGGAGAGGGGTGTGAGAGTGAGTGAGTGAGTGAGTGAGAGAAAGAGAGAACATAAAAAGCATGAGAGCCGGACGGGCAAACTCGAAGACTCGCTGCTTCACGACCAGCGCAAATTCGCCCGGCCGCCCGACAGACTAACAGAGAGAGAGAGAGAGAGAGAGACGAACAGGCGGCACGAGCGTAAAAGATCGCTGCTCGGCTAACGTGCGTTGCGCGCGATGTAACGCGTAAATAGATAAGACCGCGGGAGGGAAGGAGAGCCGAGGGGATGGGAGGAAGGTAGGAGGGGGGGAAGGAGGGGAGGACACGACGACCGTGCGAATAAATGCGCGTTGTCTCAGGCGGAATCCGCTCCTCACCTGCTGTTGCTGATGTCGGCCCGCTGCTGTTACCGCTGCTGTTGTCTGCTGTCGCCGCACGGCACCGATCGAGGCGGCCTACGTCCGCGAGATGTACGACGCAACACGGCGACACGATCACCGTCGCCGCTCCTCCACCCCTTCTCCGATCCGATGACGCTTCCTTGCGCCTCTTCTCACCGTCACCGTCGTCGTCGGTACCAACAACGGCCTTCGTGGGGATCGCTGACGCGCGCTCTCCTCGCCGCCGACTAAACATGCAGTAATCGCACCAGCGCTCCTCGCATCAATAATATCGGCCCTGTGTCTCTCTCTCTCACGGCTGGCTGGCTGGTCCGCCTCTCTCGTCCTCCCCCAATCCGCTTTCTCGCCCGCTACTGAGCCGACGGACGGACGACGAGTAGCCCGGGCGACGACGTAGTGACGCGGCGCGGGCGAGGAATTCCGGGAATTTGATACCGTAAATGGCGCGCGTGGGGGGGGGCCGACCGGATGATGGTGGACAATCACGTGAGCGTGGCGCGCATGCGCAGTGCGCCGCGTGGGATCGCGCCCGCTGTGATTTATCGATAAACCGCGCACCACCGGCGCTCCACTCGCCGCCGCCATCTTCCGCGCCTTTCGCGCGAAAATTGAAAACGCTCGTGCGCGCGCGCACTGAGTCGCGTCCGCGCACTCTGATCGTCGCCGTCTCAAAACGCACGGAAAACAAATCCAGCCGGTTATCGAAAATGAACACAACGCTTTCCCCTTTCGGTGAGTTTCGCAGCGCGTTAGAATTAACGGGAAATAAATTCTTCGTCGGGCACGAGATGCGTTCCGAAACTTGGTAAAATGAATGTCGCAATCTTCTTGATCGACTGTTTATACGTATACATAGCCAGATTAAAACTTGCAACTTTCTTTTTCCTCGTCCAGACTCGCCACGCATCCGGTGTCCAATTGAAAAATTTGTTTGTCAACAGTTCTTAGAAGATACATCTTCGTATCGGACGTACGAAATATGCGTTGTGACATTTACCGAAAAAAAGTGTTGCCACTTTTAATCTACCGACCGTGTGTGTGTACAGGCGGTGTGAAACAGAAGATATCAATCATGTAGCTTTTAATTGTAACGAGTATACACGGTGACGTTAGGGTAGAATCAATCTCTGAATTAGGATCAAGTTTTGACGCAAGCCGAGCATTCTGTGGTCGACGTAAGGAAAGTAACGTAATATAATATCTTTTATATTTGACATAGTGCTCCGTCGGTTTCCCTATGCATACATTTGCCCCGAATTTCTGAGAGAGAAGTACAGAAAGCAGGCCATTGGCAAGCAAAAAGTAGAAACTTATTAATTTATGCATGATATAACTTTTCACAAGACAATTTGTGGAGTCTCTTGTACAAATATATATTATTTATTTGAAGTTTGTAAAATAACATTTCTTTCAACTCTCAATTACAACTTCTGATAGCATTGTATACATACACACGTAGAAATAGAAAAAAAAAATATATATATATATATATATATTCTCTTATAAAAAAAATATATATATATACTTTGTACATGTCATAAGGTACAACATTGTAAAATATAAATATATATGCAATGAACATGTGATGTCTATTATATATAACTATCTAATAGTATATAATTCTCAGCGAACACTAAATTACAGTTACATAACTGTTAATTATAATTTCCTACTCAACAATGTAACTGTTGTATAACGCCTGTCACATAATAATTACATTGTTCAGTAGGAAATTATAACCAAGTTATGTAACTGCAACTCGGTGTTCGCTGGATTGTAATTTCTACAAACATACCGCTACAATCTCAAACTTGATGCGTAAAATATCCGTGTAAAAAGGTCAGTATAAAAAAGGCGCCAACGAATATCAGAAATGTAAGAATACTGACTGCGGAGTAGACAAATGTTCCTCAAGAACTGGCAAAGCAGATCGGGGCGGATCGTCTGATCGTGTCTGATCCGAATCACAGAACGCGCATGCCGTGCAAGATGAGCGGCGGTAGCATAAGGAACAGAGCCCCGATCATGTACGTCGAAGCACTTCCGATGCACCAAAACGCTGAAATACAGAACAGACGTGCTCGAGGAGGACGAAGACGAGATTCACAAAGTGAAAAGGAATATCAAATGTCGTTTCTCAATACCTGAAGACGCGACGACAGGTCCGCAGGCGCGCGCCAACGCACCGAGGGAGCGAAATGTGCCGGTGATCACGCCCTTCTGGTTCTCAGGCCCGATTCGTGTCACCAGTGTCATCATACAGGTCACCACCATGGCGGTGGCTGCGAAACAGATGGAGAAACGATAAGGACGGAGAAAAACGGCATGTTCCTCCATATAATGCACTAACGTACACTGGGATGAAAATTTAACGAATACGTCTGCTGGTTTTCACATGACAATGAATAAATAAATCAACATAATGCTCACAAACGGCGAAAAGAAAAATCCCAACGCACAAGACCAGTATACCGCTGGCAACACCGATACATATAAATGCGGGAATTACTAGCCACAATCCCTAGAATAACAGAAAATATCAAATGAAAAAATTGAGACACCGACACGGCCGGAACGGATGGAATTAGGTTGCCTCACCAACTCGCTGACAGCTTTCATTCTGTGCGGCGGGATGTGTCGCACCCAGCCGCCCTGCAAGATCGCCATTATCAGCCCGATCGCGAGGAACATCCAACCCTGCTGCATGCTCGTAAACCCGTACGTGTGATGAGTCAGAAACGTCAGAGTGAATTCCAAGCCGCTGTAGGCGAACAGGTATATAAAATACGCGCGGCCCAGTGTCTTTAGATCTTGCCGATCTGAAAGAAGAATTCACACGTCGCTGTGGAACCTCTCATTTTCATGTTCTAATTATGTGATTCAAGTTGAAGCGGAAACCGGGGTGTACCTTGTCGGCTCAAGCCGGAGACTCCGTTAAATTGGAAAAGATCTGTGGGATTAATGTAAGAGATCGCCCCGGACAATCCCTTTGCCAGGGTGGTCGCCCTGTTCTTCAGCGGTAAACTCTCCTTCAGGTAGTAAGAAACGAACAATGAGTCACTTAAAGCTAGGAAAAGTGCGAACATGGCCGGTATCACGTACCACGTGCCATCCCTATTACCGCTCGAGATCCACGCGAAGAACGCTCCTATCATCGGTCCCACGACGAAACCTACGGAGAAGGCTATCCCCACAAGCGCCTGCAGAGAAACGTAATAGAATTGTAAGTGCGAGCGGATTTTTTCCCCTTAATTAAACACAACTACTGATTCATCCGTTCCCTCACCATTGCCTTTCCTCTTGTTTCAGCGGAAGTAACGTCGCTGATGATAGCCATTGATAAGCTGATATTTCCTTTGCTGATGCCGCCCACGAATCTAGCCAGTACGAATATGCCGAAATTTGCAGAAAAAGCCCAGAGTAGATACGAGAGTGAGACACCTGTCAAACACAGCAGCATCAAAGGTTTCCTCCCGTATATGTCGGACAGTGCTCCTATGATGGGCGATCCGAGGAACTGCAGGAAGGAATACATGGAGCCGAGGAAACCTGCGAATCAAGATGATGTCATTCACTTCCATGCCTACTTTGTAGCAAATTCTACTTGAAGAATCTCACGAATGAATATATATATGTGTACCTCCATAAAGGACCGTGCTGACTTTGTCCGGAGCGTCGAAGAACACCTGTATATCCTTTACATGCTTGAAAATAGCCGAGTACAGTCCCTGTCCGTTCTCGATCTCCTTGTAATGGTCCAAAAGAGCCGGAAGAAGCGGCAGTATCATGGTGAATGCCAGGAGATCCAGCAGCAGGGATACGAACACCACTCGCACCGTGTTATCTCTGCTTTCATTCATGCTTCACGACGCGGAATGCGACACTCAGTATTCCCTCGATATCGCCCACGTAAATCCCTTCATTCCCACGCGAAGGAGGACAATTATCCGCCGGATGACGAATCGTCAGGCGAATCGAGAGACTCGAGAGATTGCGGTTTCCGGAAGCGGTGATAGAGTAGTGGGAGCGTAATTCGCAAAAATAACGAGCACCCTCGCGACCACATTAATTGCAACTCTTGTCGAGCTGCATAACGACGAGCCGAACGCTGCTATTCCTTATCATCGTCATGGACAGATGTGTTTTTCGCGCGCAGCTTCCTCCCTCCGTGGCACACGACGAAAGAGTTCCCCGAACTTCCGACATCGCGACGGTGGGTCATCTCGTAGAGCGCGTCGCCCAAAAGTGAAAGCCCCCGCCGACCTATTAGCCGACATTCCGCCGCATCCCGCTGCCAAGCACCGCGTCTATGACCCGATCATACGCAGCGGTCAGCGGCGACCGCCCCGCCTAATCTGTCGATGAAATTACCAAATGGGAATAAATTGGCGGTCGATAAGGTAGGAATCGCCGTATATCGGTAACCCCACTACTCGCAGCGCCACCTCGCCGCGTATCGGCACAGCGCGGATCCCTTCGTGCGAAAATACGCAATATGCCGGATACGGCGAGACGAACGCGTTCGTCCTCGAGCGTCCCGCGGAAGCCAGCTGGAAATTGCGGACGGATCGGCATTGATGGAGGCGCGTCACACGCGAGGTAACTTCCGTCCCAACGTCGGCGAGAGATACGACGAGAACGCGCGCCGGGAAAGGGAAAAGGGTGATGAAAAGGGGGAGAGGGCCTCTCGAGACGCGCGAAGTAAGCGAGTCCGCGGGAAAGCGCGCTCGATTTTGCGAGAGGCGGCACGCCGCCTCTCGCAGACTCGAGACCATTACGTTGTTTTTATTTGTCAGTGAAGCGAAAAATAGGCGCCGAGCGAGCGGCCGGGCGCACCCAGGAGCATTATGCGCGTTCCGACTTCCGGTACGCGGCGGGCGAGCTCTCATGCGCTCACGCACACCGCCGCGGGCGCGCGACACGCACACGAATGCGCGAAGGCGCGCGCAGCCCACTTCCTCGCGCCGAACAAAGATCTTTTCAAACCCGTCCCGAACTGTAACATCGCCCGCCGGTCGCGCGATCGTTTCTAAATACGCTGCAACTCAATACTCTCCGCGCTGTTTTCTCTCCTCTTCTCTCTCTCTCTCTCTCTCTCTCGTTCTCTCACGTTAGAATAATGCAAGTCTCCTCTTGCTTACGAGATCCCTCGCCCCGTGCGCACGTGGAAATACGAGTTACGCGGCGCGACGGCAGGGAAAATAAATCAAAGCGTGAGAAACGATTCGTGCGACGATCGAGCGAGCGACTCGTGGTCCTCTTTAGAAAAGAAAGATTTCCGCCGCGGCGAAGGGACGCGCTTCTTTCCCTTCCCCCTTCTCCCCCTACCCTCTCTCTTTCCCCCTCGAGAAAGCGAATAAATCCCGGTGCGAGCACGCCGATGATGTATGCCGACGTGGCCCCTCGGTGGTCCTTCCTTTGTGAGCGCGCTCATGCGCGCGCGAGCGCTATATTTTACACGTGGTTATATCTTCGTAACTGTTATACGACGATACACAGGGTTGAATTCTTAATTTATAGCGATCACACACATCGGCCCTCCTTCGGACGCGAAGAGACAAACGGTAGCCGGGATTCGCGCGAGAACCTCGCGGGAATTCCTCCCGCGAGAGTGCAGCTCTTCGAGCTGAGACGCTATGATACTTATTTTTCGGAAAAATTCTTCATCGTCCATTTCAGCTGCTCTTGGACGGTCGATGTAATTACGATTCGCTCGATCCCAACAGCACTTCTTTTCTCTGTGCGCCGCCCGGGCGGATTCATTTGCCGCGTTATTTTGCGTCACTTCGTGTCACCGAAGTACTGGGCTGTCGTTACACGCGTACACGATGAAACGAAGAAGAAGTCGCTCGCGTAAATCGCGGCAAGATCGTCATTTAAGCGCAGTGACGCCCGGGCCTCTCTACATGTAGAGCAGGTGGCAGCGGCAGCAGCACCAGCGGTAGGCTTTGCTGGCCGGTAGTACCACCGGTCAAAATTTAAGCAAGGGATCGGGGCGCTTGCCATCTGTGGGCCCTCTACCGTGGCAAGGCCCATACGGTGGATCGCGTCCTTACGTGAGCGCCTTCGAGATTTCCGAATGTACAAAGCGATCAGCGCGAGGGGATCGGGCAAGAGAGGGGGGGTAGGCCGGAGGGGGAGGGGAAGAGAGACAGGCTCGAAATTGCAGGCTCGCGACTCGTAATTGTGACGCGACCGCGATATCTCCCGGCGTAATATTTTGAATGATGTAATTGACAGTCATCGTCGCGTGTGTACACATGGATACCGCGCGAGGAGAGATCGCGAGATCTCTTTACGCCGTTTTACGTGACTCGTGAATGGCGATCAATCCCGTATTATGCGTATTGCGCGTTACGATAGCTATTATCTTCAACAGTTCGGCAACAATGGCCGGCTTGCGGCGGCAGGGTGATTTTATTGGGATTACCACACCGGGTCGAGGGTGTCCAGCGAAGGATACCGTGTTCAAGCGGGATTTAATGAAGTGCTTTCCGTGAAGGAGAGAGACAGATAGAGAGAGAGAGGGAGGGAGAGAGTGCATCGTTTACTCGGGCGATATTAATATTCGTCGTGCGACTTCTCACGACGATTTCTGTCAATAACTCCCTTCTCGGAAGCCTATAAAAATTTCATGAGTCGCATACACATACACACACATGTTTAGCTCAGCGCGTTAAACTTCATCAAATATTCAAAACTAGCCCCCAGTGTTACAGTAACCCCGATCGATCCTGCGCGATACACGCTGCGGGCAGGTGTTGACATTGATCAAAATTTGATCCTCACCTGCATTATCCCCGCTTCCTCCGTATCTCTCGCGTATAAAAGTATCGCGTGGAAACCGTGAAAGCTCGAGTCGAACAATTTTTCTTCCATACCAAACCTTTAATTCTAAACTGGCATAATTACAACGCATGAAAACGTCACGAAAATGGCAACATATCAGCTGCGTTAATTTTATATTGGAGTAATAATTAAATGTTGCTGACACAGAAAAATGTCAATATTTGGATATAAGATTTTTTACTGGGCAACATCAAAATTATGCGAATCAAGCGCATGCTTAACAAAAATCGCCCATGCATTTCTCGATTAATCGCGAGACAAAAACATGTCCCCCTTTCTGTCATTATTTAATTATAATAATTATTATTTATTATATAGGTTAATTCCAAATTGCCTTCGCGTTTATTACCTTCGAGACACACGTTCGCAGATGCTTTCTCTGCCCAACGGATTTTCGGGGACCGCTGGAGAGTCGGGTCGCGCGTTTCCGCGCCTAAAATGTGAATTCGTCAATGTACAGTTAAACGCACAGTTTCGGACGGTCTCTCCGAAAGCGCGAAGGAAAGGTAGAGAGAGAGAGAAAGAGAAAGGGACTTTCCGGACGGAGTCTCATTCACGAAAACGCACAAAGCTGCTGCACAATGACATCCTGCAGCCCAGCTTTCCTCCGAAAATAAAACGGAGACAACGAACACACATTATTCGAGGAATGTTTCTGGATGGTATGGAATGTGGCCAATTTTAGGACAATTTTAGGACGATTTTGAGACGAGGGAACGTCGAAACCTCACGTCGCCGAGCGACCTAAGCCTTTATGTTCGTAGGAACTTTGAACATTCCATTGACCAGAAATACAAAACTTACAAAGAAAAATGACCGTAAATTTAATTACCTTAATTTAATAAGTTCACGCAAAAAAAAAGTTAGTATCGATCCGAACGACGTTACTCGTGCGAAGAAGACAGATCGGATGAGATCAAGAAAGTAAAGCGAATATTTCATGTGATTTTTCCCTCAGCTTTTCCGGATCCTGAGTAAGTCTCGAGGTTTGAGAATCGTCGAAATACCTCGAGCATTCGCCCGTTCTAGAAAGGATTTCCCGTGTGCTGGTCAATTCGTGAGTGTCCGTGGGCAAAACCCGTAAGGGAGCCTCGTATCGAATACCTACTTCGAAGGACAAGAAGGAGCGAAATAAACGTCATCTGGTCGCATCCTCGACTACCGTAACGGCCATGGAAAAGCCTCGATGCGCGGTAGAAAAACTTGAGAGCGGTAAAAGCCGTATGGCACACGGAAGAACACGTGGCAATATGTAATAATGCGAGTCGATCGATCAGTCGCACGGCCGAGAATCTCAGTCGTGATAGTCCTAAGTCCTCGATAATTCCCGAGGATTATCGAGAACTAAGAATAAGATTTTGGACTTGCAGCCTTAGCAAAATGGCTGACTTATTAGTCTCAAACAACAAAGCCGTTCTGTTTAAGATTGACGACAAATCGCTGTATAATAAAAAGAAATTAACAAATGATAATTTGGACAAAGATTTAGGGTATAAAATATTAAAATTGCAAGTCGGCCAAATTCATTTTTCACTTTCGCGAGAAAATATTCACCCGACGTATCATAATGGAGAATTCGCTCCACGCGAGTGAAAAATCGAATCCGAGGGACTCGACTGACATTTTCGAGTAGAATTTCACTCCAAGAAATTCAGAGGGTACGTTTCTCCGCACGTGCCACAATCCGAATGGGCGAAGAATCAACCATCTCGGCTTCGTGAGTGATTTCACATTGTGAGTTTTTCCCACAAGAAGCCTCGATAACTCTCCATACTTCCATTTCGGCGGAGATCCGTCTCTCGCATGATCATCGTCCGTGCACAGCGAGACTCGAGGACACTGGGTAGACAACAAGAGACAAAAGAGCCCTAAACGGCTCATAAGAAGAAAAACTGCCGACGGGAAAAGTGCGTGAAAAAGGCGGCAAAAAGTGGGGGAAAAATGGGAGAGACGCGTTCGAGAAAAAAAAGAGAGAAAACGGTGAGACAAAGGCGAAATCTGAAATTTTCTCGGAGCCACGGGCGGGTGAGCGTCGCACGACGGCTGAAAATCCCGACGGGCACAATAGGGACAAAGGGAATTTTCGGATACCGGTGCATATACCGGCTGTCTGGCAAGCTGCACCATCGCCGTCGCCGGGCGACGCACAAACGTCCTGCTGCATAAGCCGAGGTGGCGGCAGGCAGGTATACCAGAACAGGGTGATTCGCAGCCGGCCGACGACGTTGCCAACTGAGAGATTCCACGGTTTCTCAGCCGCTTAAAGCGTAGTCTATTAATGGGCAATATAGGAGTATGTTTATAAGAAATAAGAATAGGAAATTCACCACAATCATATTCGAACGCAAGGAGAATATAATCGACTATGATTGCTTGATTTCTCTTACTACTTCAATATATTCCTACTGTCTCTCTGTAGTAGACCACGTTTAAGAACAACAGCCTGGGTGTCAAGAAAATTCTAGACTCGGCGATCG